CGCGGCCTTCGTCGAGTACTACGAGGACGTCTCGCCGACCGTCGACGGCGACGTCCACTTCGCGGCGGCCCTCGGCGCCGCGTGGGACGTCGCGCCCTGGCCGAGCGGCGCCGACGAGAACGCGGACCCGGACGACGACGACGACGACGACTCCTCGCGCGGCTCGCGCGCGGGCGTCGTGGACCGGTTCTGGTAGGCTTAGGCCGCGCCCGCGTCGAAGGCGTCGACGGCGGCCTTGAGGCGCCGGAGGCCCTCGTCGAGCGTGTCCCGGTGGCAGCCGAAGTTGAGGCGCACGAAGCCGCGCGCGCCGAAGCCCGGGCCCTCCGTGAGGTAGACGCCGCGCTTCTTGAAAAAGAGGCCCGGCGACGGGATCCGCGTCGCGTCGATCCAGAGGAGGTAGGACGCCTCCGGCGGCGCCGCCGCGACGGCGAGCGTCGGGCCGCACTCGTCGCGGACGAAGGACCAGGCCCGGTCCCGGTTCCCGCGCAGGTAGGACAACTGCGCCTCGCGCCAGGGCTCGCAGGCGCCGCCGGGGACGCTGAGCGGGCACCGCGACGCGCCGCCGCCGTCTTCGCCCGCGAGCACGGCGCGGAACGCCGCGTAGCCGGCCGCGGGCACCTCGGCCTGGTCGCGGCCTGCGCGGAAGTAGCGCCGCCGCAGCGCGTCGTCGGGGATCACGGCGAGGGCGAGGTCGAGGCCCGCGACGTTGTACGTCTTCGACGGCGACGTGAGCACGACGAGCCGCAGGCCCGGGATCTGTCCGTGGAAGCGGCCCGCGGACGTGAACGACCCGTCGTAGACCAGGCCGCTCCAGACCTCGTCGGAGACGAGGACGACGTTGCGCGCCGCGCAGGCCTCGGCGACGGCGCGCATCTCGGCCTCGCGCCAGACGCGGCCCGTCGGGTTGTGGGGGTTGCACCAGAGCAGCACCGCGTCGCCGCCGCGGGCTTTTTCGACCGCTTCCTCCAGCGCCCTCTCGAGCGCGGCCTCGTCGAGCGGTTCGCCGCCGTGGCCGACGTCGACGTCGACGCGCACGCTGCAGTCGTCGGCCGCGTTGCGGAAGGGCGGGTAGACCGGCGCGGGCGCCGCGACGGCGCCGGCCGGGCCCGCGAGGCGCGCGGCGTGGTAGAGCGCCGCGATGAGGCCCGGCTGCCAGCGGAACCAGGCCGCGTCGACGGGCCGGCCCCAGCTCCGGCCGACGGCCATTTGCGCCGCTTCTACGAGCGCCGCGGGCGGGTTCACGTAGCCGAATTGGTCCGCGGCCGCGGCGTCGCGCACGGCGTCGCGCACCGCCGGCGGCGACGCGAAGTCGCTGTCCGCGACCCAGAGCGGCAGCACGGCCTCCTCGAAGCGCGTCCACTTGCGCGACTCGCGCGCGCGGCGCTGCGCCGCGCTCGACACCTCGAGCAGCGCCGGCAGCGGCGCGTCGCCGGCGGCGAGGCCGCGCACCGCGTGGCGCGGGCCACCGCGGCGCGCCACGAGCGCGAGGGCCACGCGGCCGTGCACGGCCCAGCGGAGCAAGCTGGTCATTGTTTCGTAGCACTCGCCTGAATGCGTCTCTAAACGTAGCGGTCCCGGGCAGCAATTGCCACAAACATGCGCAAGTCCTACACTCCCACCGTACTTAAGTAGGCTCCGTGAATCGATGGTTACGGCGCTAGCGAAGTCGCTAGCGCCAAAGATCTCCGCGGACCGTCCCCCCCCCACCCTCGACCGCGCCGCGGGGACGACGCGACCCCGCTCTCCGGATAGAAACGAGACGCGCGTTACGCGGCGCCCCCCTAGATGCGGGAGCCCGTCGCGGGGAGGAGCGTGACGTTCTTCGCCGTGCGCGCCTTCTCGAGCATGTAGGTCGCGCGGCCCGCCTGCTGGGCCTTGACGATCTCCTCGGCGGCGAGGGCCCGGTACTTGAGGTCGTCCTCGAGGAGGCCCGCGGTGATGGCCTCGTCGTAGGCGAGCTGGTCCGCCTTGGCCTTGGCGGCCTGGTCCTGGTGGCGTTTGATCTGGGTCTCCTGGGTCGCGCGGATCTCGCGGTTCTTGCGCCGCCGCGCCTCGGCGTCGTTGGCCTCCTCCTCCTCGATCTCGATGTTCTTGGCCTTCCACGTCGCGACCATGTCGCGGATCTCCTGCTCCTCGCGCTCCTTGATGCGGAGCCGCGCCTCGAGCTGCTGCTGGCGCGAGATGTCGATGGCGGCCTTCTGCTGCGTGATGTTGCGCTGCTTCAACTCCTCCAAATCGTTCTCCTTCTTCCGCATGGCCTCGACCTGGTCCTCGAGGCGCTTGTCCTGCGTGTCGATGCGGTTCCGGAGCTCCTCGGACGCCTTGTCGATCAATTTCTGCTTCGTCGCCTGGCGCGCGTCGAAGCGGGCCTTCTCCATGCGCTGGCGCTCGACGACGAGGTACTCCTTGCGCTCCAGATCGCGCTTGCGCCGCGTCTCCTCGTCCTGCTCCTTGAGCTGCTGCGCAAATTTCAACTTCTTCAGCTTCTGGTTCGCGAGCTGCATCTCGCGCATCTCGAGCTTGGCCTTGAGCAGCTTCTCCTCGGCGACGCGCTCGTCCTCCTCCATGTCGCGCTTCGCCTTGTCCTGGATGAGCTCGCCGTCGCGCTTCTCCGTGCGGAGCCGCGCGAGGTAGTTCTCGCGGTACTCGTTGAGCTGCGACTTCTGGGACCGCGCGATGACCGTGGCCTTGAGCTTGCGCGCGGCGGCCTCCTGGGTCTCCCGCAGCTCGCCCTCGGCGATCTGGCGGACGACGTCCGCGTGGTACGCCTCCTCCTTCTCCTTCTCCCAGCTCTCCATGACCGCGCGCTCCTTGATCTGCTCCTCGCGCTCGTAGAGCACGTCGCTGTACATCTGCTGGCTTCTTAGGTTCTTGACCTTGTCCGTCTGCTCGTACATGATCGTCTTCGCGCGGCTGATCGCGGCCTCGCGCTTCGTCTTTTGCAGCGCGGCCTCCTGGCGGTCGATCTCGCGCCGCGCGGTCTCCTCCTCGGCCATGCGCTCCTGCTTCCAGTTCTCCTTCTTCTTCCGCATGGCCTCGAGCGTGTTCGGCCAGTTCTTGACCTTGTCGTCGCTCAGGGCCTTGAGCCGCAGCCGCCGCGTCTCCGTCGCCGTCGGCGCGTCGGGCCGCGTGTAGCTCCGCATGCGCTCGAGCTCGCTCCGCGACAGCACCGTCATGGTGTCGGCGGGGGCGGCGACCGCCCGGGGTCAGGCGGGGTCGCGGGCCGGCGCAAAGGGCGGCGCGGACGGCGTCGGGCTGCGCGAGGGCTGTTAGACAGCGCTGGGTGGCTCGGATACATCTTTGGTGTTGACGGCACCTCCGCCGCGCTTTTGACCGAGATCGCGGCCCACGTGCGCGCCTTGCGGGAGGGCGACGACACATCGAAGGCGGTGGCGCGGCGGGTGCTGGGCTACCTCGCGGGGAGGCCCGGCAACCGGGTCCTGATCGCCGAGGCCGGCGGCATTCCGCCACTCGTCGATTTCCTGCGCGACGGAAGCGCGGAGGCCAAAGTGCAGGCCGCGTGGGCGCTGCGCAACCTCTCGTCGGATTACGCCGCCAAGGTCCTGATCGCCGAGGCCGGCGGGATCCCGCCGCTCGTCGATCTCGTGCGCGACGGCAGCGCGGAGGCCAGTACGTATGCCGCGCGCACGCTGGACAACCTCGCGCGGGACAACGACGTCAACAATGTCGCGATCGCCGAGGCCGGCGGCATCCCGCCGCTCGTTGAGCTCCTGCGCGACGGGGGCGCGGAGGCCAAACAATTCGCCGCGTCGGCGCTGTGCGCCCTCTCGCGCAACAACGACGCCATCGCGATCGCGATCGCGCTGACCGTCGGTTTCGACGCGGTCGTCAAGCTCGCGCGAGATGGCAACGTGCGCCTCAATTCGTATTTTATGGTGGCTAATGCACGCCCCGGCGCGCGGCGCAAAGCCGCGCTGCCCGTGCTCCGCAAGTGCCTCCCCAGCACGATCCCCGACGACATCGCCAAGGCCATCGCGGCCGCCCTAGGTCCCTAGAGATCTCGCGCCCTCGAATTAGGCCTCTGAACGCGCGGCGGCGCAGCGGGCGTCGCAGGCCGACGGGCACGCGAGGGACGCGTTCCGCCCCGCCGCGTCGACGCTGCCGCAGCGCCGGTCGGGGTCCTTGGCGACGTGCTCGCACGTGTGCGCGGTCGACCTGTGCTCGTTCCAGTCCGCGTCGTCGACGCAGGCGCAGTCTTCCCGCGGGTGGTGGAGGTGGCCGTAGGCGCGCGCGCGGCCGGCGCAGCGCTCGCGCGCGCACACGTCCGCGAGGCCCTTCTGGACGTTCCAGACGCAGGGGTCGACCTGCGCGGGCCGCCACCGCGCCTGCGCGTCCTTCGCCGCGGCGCTCAACCGGCTGCGGTAGAAGAACCAGTGGAAGAAGCCCTGCATGCGCGCCTGGAAGTGGGCGTGGGGGTTGTTGTTCGGGCCCCAGCCTGTGTGGAATTCAACCACTGGTTTGGGTGGTCCTGACCAAACTTCAGAATTCTCTCGCTCGGTCAAATCGAAGTCGATTCGGCTGATTTTTGGACGAATCGATTGCTCTGGTCGAGTTCTCGAAGCACAGCCGAAGAGCTCGCGTCGAAACTGTCGCATATGCGCACATTGAAGTCGGGTTGAAGATTTGAATTCCACACAGGCCCCAGCCCTCGCCGTTCCAGCCCGCGCGGTAGTCGACGCGCGCCGTCTCGAGCGCCGCGCGGAGCCGGCTCCGGAGCAGCTCGCTCGGCGGGACGGCGAGGAAGGCGCCGTTGACGGGCACCTCGGGCCCGCGCGTCGTGACCACGCGGCCCTCGGCGACGCAGTCGAAGAGCGGGCCGAAATCCGCGCCTGTGTGGAAATCAAATCTTCAACTCGACTTCAATGTGCGCGTAATCGAACGGTTTGGACCAGACTCTTCAACTGCGCTTCAAGAACTCGACGAGAGCAATCGATTCGTCCAAAAATCAGCCAAGTCGACTTCGAATTGGCCGAGATAGAGAGTTCTGAAGTTTGGTGGGGGGCCCCCAAACCAGTGGTTGATTTCCACACAGGTCCGCGCCGTCCTCGGGGTCGTAGTCGAGGTCCGCGACGATCATCGCGTCGTACTCGCCGTAGCCCATGGGCTCGAGCTTCAGGAACTCCCGGGCCCCGCAGCAGCCGCCGCTCTCGACCATGATGCCCGCGCTCAGCTTCGGCGGCACGACGTGTTCGCTGTAGCGGATTTTGACGCCGAGGTCCTCGAGCGCGGCGATCGTCGCCGCCGCCACGGGCACCTTCTGCTTCTCGGGGACGGGGAAGACGAAGATGCGGTCCGCGCCGTTGCGCCGGGCCACGCGCGCGACCTTGGCCTCGTGCTCCAGGAGGCCGGGGCCCTTGCGATTCTCGAGCGGGAGCTCGACGTACGCGTCGAAGACGGAGACGAACGCCCGCCGCCGCGCGGTGCCGTTGGCGCAGGTGCCCAGGTCCAGGCAGTCGACGCCCCTGTCGAAGGCGAGGCACCGCGTCTTCCGCGTCGCCGGCCGAAACTCCTCAGTCAAGACCTCCTCGGCGTGGTGCTTGTTCGACCGGCGCCGGCCCCCCCATCCGTCGACGACGCACGACAGGGCGCAGCAGAGCGCCCACGCCCGCATTTTCGTCCCTCGATCTCACGCGCCGCGCATTCGACCTCGACCTGCCGAGGACAAGTAGGCGAGCGCTCAGGATCTGCTCAGGTAAATTTTGAGCGAGCACTCGCTAGGCCGCGATAGACGCGGGCAGATCATGTCGTGGCAGGAGAAGAAGTTGGAGTATGAGACTCGCATGGCCCGAGCGAGGGGCAAAAAACTCGACACTCTCAAGACCTGCACGATCTGCGGCGCCGACAAGGCCAAGGCTTGTCAAGGGTGCGGCACGACGGCCTACTGTTCGACGGACTGCCAACGCATCGACTGGCGCGACCGGGGCCACCGGAAGGTCTGCAAGAAGATCCAGGCCGCGGAGGCGGCGCGGGCCGAGGCGCCGACGCCCCCGCCGTCGCCGCCGCGGGACGTGTTCTACGGCCCCGCGCCGCGGTCGCACGCCGACGAGGTCCGCGCGCGCATCGCGGCGGAACACGAGGCGGCCCGCGCGCGGCGCGAGGCGAACCCGGAGCCCGAGCCGACGTCGGCGCGGTACGGGTCGCGGTGCCCGATCTGCCTCGAGGAGTGGGACGTGAATGATGGTGGCGTGTTTCGCATCTGTTGCTGCCGGTTGGTCTGCAAGTCGTGCGCGGACAAGATCGGCACCGACGCGTGTCCCCTCTGTCGCCTACCGCGCACGAAGACCAATGCGGAGCAGCTCGCGCGTCTGCGCCGCCATGTGGAGAACGAGGTCCCGGAAGCAATTTCGTTTTTGGGAGAAGCGTACCACTTCGGTCGGTTTGGCCTCGTGAAATCCGATAAGAAAGCCGCAAAAATTTGGAAGCGTGCCGTGGAGCTCGGGAACGTGGACGCGATGAATAATCTTGGGACATTGTACGAGTATGGAAGTGGCGTCAAGCTGGACAAGAAAAAGGCGGAGCGGCTGTATCGCGCGGCCGCAGATCGAGGCGACGCGCTCGCGCAATCCAATTTAGGGATTTTACTTTACCATGAGGAGAGATTTGAAGAAGCGTTCCGGTACTGGGCGCTCGCGGCGGATCAAGGCTATGCCCCTGGAGAGCAAGGCCTTGGCGTGTGTTTCAGGGACGGAGACGGCACGGAAGTCGACCTCGGCAAAGCCAGATACTGGTTCGAGCGCGCCGCTGCCAAGGGCTACCAGAAAGCTACAGACGAGCTCGCGCGCCTTGACGCGCAAGTATAGCCTAAGTCTCCATGCCGCGTTGTCGCCCGAGCCCGGGATGCTGCGCTTGCGCGCGGGCGAGTCGCGCTTGGCCTTGGCGTCGTCGTCGCCGCGTTCCTGTCCGCGCCGACCTTCGCGGTCTGGATTCTGGCGTTTCTGAACGCGAAGCCCGTCAAGGACGACGACGCCGCCGAGGGGGGGGCTGGAGAACGACAAGAACGCGATGCTCTAGGCGTGGGCTTAGGCCTTTGGGTAAGATTTTGAGCGATTTTTGCCTTTGCGATCGGCCGAGGAGCGACGCAAGGACGCGCGCAGTCAGAGATCATGGACCCGGAATTGATCAAGAAGAAGCGAGAGTACGAGGCACGAAAAAACCGTACGAAGCTGGCGCTCAACATATGCACGATTTGCGGGAAGAAGGATGCCCGGCCCTGTAAAGGTTGCGGCACGACGGCCTACAGTTCGACGGCCTGTCAACGCATCGACTGGCGCGACCGGGGCCACCGTGCGGCGTGCAAGAAGATCCAGGCCGCGGAGGCGGCGCGGGCCGAGGCGCCGACGCCCCCGCCGTCGCCGCCGCGGGACGTGTTCTACGGCCCCGCGCCGCGGTCGCACGCCGACGAGGTCCGCGCGCGCATCGCGGCGGAACACGAGGCGGCCCGTGCGCGGCGCGAGGCGAACCCGGAGCGGGAGCCGGTCTCGGCGCGGTTTGGGTCGCGGTGCCCGATCTGCCTCGAGGAGTGGGACGTGAATGATCCGGGCATGCTTCGCAGCTGTTGCTGCCGAAAGGTCTGCCAATCGTGCGAGGACAAGATCGACTTCGGCGCGTGTCCCCTCTGTCGTGTACCGTGCGCAAAATCCAATGCGGAGCAGCTCGTGCGGCTTCGCCGCCATGTGGAGAACGAGGTGCCGGAAGCAATTACGCATTTGGGAACTGCGTACCGCGAGGGTTGGTACGGCCTCGTGAAATCCGAGAAGAAAGCCGCGAAGATTTACCGGCGCGCCGCGGAGCTCGGCGACGTGGAGGCGATGGTGTTTCTGGGGGAATTTTACGAGCATGGAAGTGGCGTCAAGCTGGACAAGAAGAAGGCGGAGCGGCTGTATCGCGCGGCCGCAGACCGGGGCGACGCAGACGCGCAGACCGATTTAGCGGTTTTACTTTACCATGAGGAGAAATTTGAAGAAGCGTTCCGGTACTACACCCTCGCGGCGAATCAAGGCTTTACCAATGCGGAGAATAACCTTGGCTGCTGTTACAGGGACGGAGACGGCACGGAAGTCGACCTCGGCAAAGCCAGATACTGGTTCGAGCGCGCCGCTGCCAAGGGCCACGAGAGAGCTATAAAGTCCCTCGCGCGCCTCGACGCGCAAGTATAGCCTAAACCATATTCCGCAAGCGCACGACCCATGGAAGAAGTTCCCCGCCGCCAAAGGAACCGCGAGATCCCCCCTTACGAGACCGCGAGGAGCGCGTGGCGCGGCTTGCCGCGCGGCGCGTCGCCCCGCGGCGGCGGCGGCGGCGGTTTCGGCGCGCCGTCGTCGTCGACGAAACCCTCCGGTCGCCTTGGCGCGCCGAGGGGCCGGGGCTTGGGCCGCGGGCGGAAGCCGGGCCAGCGGCGCGTGCAGTGCGCGACGCGGCAGGCCGGCGGCGGCGGCGGGAGCCGCGGCCGGTGGTCGAGGCACGCGAAGGCCTCGAAGGGCGAGCCCTCGAAGTCGTCGTCGCTCGAGTCGGCGCCGTCGCTGAGGTCGTCGTCGCGCCGCGCGGCGTCGGCCGCGTCGTAGAAGCCCGCGGGCGCGTGGCGCGCCACGTCCCACCGCTCGCGGTCGCACGCGCAGCGCGGGTGGAACGACTTGCGGCACGTCGCCTCGATGCAGCCCAGCGTGGCGCCGGGCTTGCCGCAGGCCGCGCACTTCAATAGGCGGCCGCGCCGCGCCGCGGCCTCGACGTCGAACCAGACCTGGGCAGGAAAAGGGTGCGAAATTCCCAACTTCAAAGGCTCCTATCTCGGTCGTTTTCCGCTCGTTTCGGCTGACTTTTGGACGAGCGATCATCTCTCGGAGCGCTCTCGAAGCGTGGGTGCTGTTTCCGAAACGCGCGCGCGCGGAACACTCACATTGAAGCGACGTTGAATCACCCTTTTCCCGCCCTGAACCAGACGTCGTCGACGACGCGGACCTCCGCGGACGCGGCGGCGCAGCCGTCGTGGATCCAGAAGGGCCCGCCGCCGCCGCGCCGCTCGAAGGCGAGCAGCTCGCCGGCGACGTAGCCCGGGCAACTCGCGTCCTCGGCGGACGTTTTGCGGCAGAGCGCGCACGCCGCGCCCGCGGTCTGTTCCGGGAACGCGCGCCGCGCGACGCGGTCCGCGTGGTCCCTCGCGCGCCGCCGCCGCGTCGCCGCCGTCGCGGCGAGGCCCTCGCTCGCGTCCGGGTCCTCGTCGCGCAGGGGCAGGAGGCCCCGCTCGCGCGCGAGGCGCCGCGCCTCGGCGACGCCGGACGCGAGCCTGCGCGGAATTCGACCACCGGTTTCGGGGGTCCTGACCAAACTTCAAACCTCTCGAGCTCCGTCACATCGACGTCGATTCGGCTGATTTTTGGACGAATCGATTGCTCTCGTCAATTTCTCGAAGCAGAGCCAAAAAGCGCGCGTCGAAACGGTCGCGTACGCTCACTTGAAGACGGGTTGCAGATTTGATTCGCACGCGGGTGCTCGCGCGCCCGCGGCCGTCGCGAGGTGCTCGCGCGACGTCGCCTCGCCCGCGAAGCGCAGCGCGCCGTCGCCCAGGGGCGCGGCGAGGCACTCGACGTCCGCGGGCGTCGACCCGACGCCGAGGTAGGAGTAGGAGCCGCGCGCGAACGCGTCGTCGGCCCACGCGGACGCCGCGGACCGCTCGACGCGCCACGTCGCGCGGTCGGCGTCGGACGCGCCCAACAACTTCGCGAGGGCGGCCAAACACTCGGCGACGAGCGCCGGCGGCGCCGGCCGGCAGGCGTCGGCGCCCGACGCGTCGAGCCGGGTCTCGAGGCGCTCCGCGGCATCGGCGGGGCAGAGCGCGACGAGCACGGGCGCGTCGACCTGGGCAGGAAAAGGGTGATTCAACGTCGCTTCAACGAGAGTCTTCCGCGCGCGCGCGTTCCGGAAAAAGCATCCACGCGTCGAGACCGTTCCGAGAGATGATCGCTCGTCCAAAAATCAGCCGAAACGAGTGGAAAACGGCCGAGAGAGGAGCCTTTGAAGTTGGGAATTTCGCACTCTTTTCCTGCCCTGGCGTCGACGGCGGGCTCCATGTCGACCCAGAGGAAGAGGTGGCCGCCGTCGCCCGCGACGCGCCCCAGGTTCCGCGCCTTGACGATTTCGCCGCCCCAGTACCGGGGCTCGCGCCAGAAGCAGCGGTCGAAGCGGAGCGCGACCTTGTTGAGCAGCCCGAAGCCGACGCGGTCGATGGCCGCCCGCTTCCAGGCCGGCAGGGGCGGCGAGAAGGCGATGGCCCCGGCCTTGAGCACGCCCAGGGGCGCCGTGACGACGATCGCGTCCGCGTCGAGCCGCGCGCCCGACGCGAGCGACACGCGGCAGCCGGGCTTGTCGTCGCCGCCCCGTTTGGCGCCCCCGGCGCAGGTGCGCTCGTGGGACGCGCGGCCCGACCCGTGGACGAAGACGCGGCCGCAGCCCTTGCCGCAGCGGAGCGCGCCGGGCGCGTCGGCGCCCCCGCGCGCCGCGGCGCGCGGGCTCGCCGGCCGCGCGACGCCGACCTCGACGCGCGCCGCCGCCGCGTTCAGACGTACGTCCTTCAGCGACGCCGCGAGGCCCTCGCAGAGGCCCTGGAACGTCTCCCGGAGCACGCAGTGGCTCCCCGCGTAGGCGTAGGTGTCGTCCTGGTCCCAGTGGCGCAGCGACAGCGCGTCGAGCGGGCACGCGTTCGCGTACTCCAGATTCGACACGTGCCAGTCGACGAAGCCCGCGTCGCCGCCGCCGGCGCCGAGCGCCTCGCGGAAGCAGCGGCCGAGGCTCAGGTCGCGGCCGTGGCGCGGCGCGGCCGCGGCGGCCGCGTTTTCGCCGACCTCGGCGCGCGCCTCGGTGAGGGCCGCGGCGTCGCCGCGGGCCCGCGCGGCGGCGAGCGCGCCGTTGAAGCGCGCGAAGGCCGCGTCGTCGCCGGCCGCGCCCGTGAGCACCGCGCCCGTGCCGCCGTCGCGGAGGACGACGTCGTCGCCCGTGTCGACGCCGTGGAGGGCCAGGTCGCAGGCCGCGTCGTAGACGGGGTTCTTGCGCACGCCGTGGATCCACGACGCGCCCAAGTCCACGCGGACGCCGCCGCCGAGGTCCGCCGCGCTGCACCGGCCGCCGACGCGGCCCCGCGCCTCGACGACGACGACGTCGCAGCCGAGGCGCTCGAGCTCGCGCGCGCAGCCGAGGCCCGCGAGGCCCGCGCCGACGACGACGACGCGCGGCGGCGCGGCGGCCCCGCGCTCGGCGCGCTTCCGCGGCGCCGCGCGCGGCTCCGGCGCCGGCGCGGGCGGGCAGAACGGCCGCGGCGCCGCGGGGCACTCGCGCGCGTAGGCCTCGTCGTCCGTGTCCGCGTCGAAGGGGTCCGCGCCCGGCGGCATGCGGCGCGGCGCGGCGGCGGGCGGCCGCGGGGGCGGGACGGGCCGCGGCTCGAGCGCCGTCGCGCGCGCGTCGGGAGCCGCGAGGCGCAGGGGGCAGTCGCGGTGGTTCGTGCGCTTGTGGCTCGTCGACCCGCACCGGCAGGCGTCGCCGTCGCCGTCCCGCGGCCGCTTCTTGTGCGAGTCCGGCGCTATCGTGCCCCGGAGCGGGCAGTCGCGGTGGCTCGTCCGCGAGTGGGTCGTGGACCCGCAGCGGCACGCCTTCGTCGCGCCGCCGTTGTGCGGGACGGCGCGCGGCGGCGGCAGGGCGGCGAAGGACGGCGCGAGCGGCGGCGGCGGCGGCAGCCGCGGCGGCGGCCGCCCCACGGTGCGCGGCGGCGGCAGCAGCGGCGCCGCAGTCCAGAGCGGCGCCGCCGGCGTCCAGAGCCGCGGCCGCCCGTCGCGGCCGTTCATGGCGCCGCGCCGCGCAAGAAGCGAGGCGGTCGACGAGCTGCGCGTGCGTTCCGCGGCGTGGCGCTTTAGCGGTGCGAGCCTACACTCCGAGACCCCATGCTTCCACGCTTCACCTCCGAATCCGCGAGTTTGCGCCACCTCGCTTGTTGCCTTTGGCCAGCGCCCGAGGGCTGCCCGGCCACTATGGCGTGCCCGTCGTCGACGTGCCGGCCGTCGCCGGACCAGCTGAACCTGCTGCGGCACCCGCGGTCCTTCGCCTTCGGCGGCGAGATGTGGCGGCACCAGCGCCTCGCCGCGTCGCGGCGCAAGCGCGTGGCCTTTGGCCAGCGGCTCTACAACGTCAACGAGGCCATGGAGCAGGACGACGACGACGACGTGTCGAACGAGGCGCCGCCGCGGGGCCTCGCCGCGAGCGCGAGCGCGCCGGGCCTGCTCCAGGGCGGGCCGGGCCCCGTCGCGCGGCGCCGCGCGACGCGGGGGTCGCGCGCGAAGAAGGGCGGCGGCGGCGCGCCGGGGTCGCGCGAGCGCGGCGGCGGCGGCAGCGGCATCGGCGCGCTCCAGTTCCGGGGCGCCTTCGAGGCGACGGACGCCGCCGGCGACTTCGACGAGAAGTTCTCCAAGCTCGCGAACACGCGGCTCCACTTCGGCGCGTCCATCGCGCTCCAGTCTCTGGTGACGAACGACGTCGTCACCGTCAAGAACTCGAGCGACGCCAAGGTCGACGGCACGGTCGTCGCGTCGCCCTGCGCCGACATCGAGGCGAGGGACGTGGCGCTCCTCAAGATGATCGAGATGGAGGACCCGGGCTCCTACAAAGGGGTCCGGTTTGGCGACGACGTCTGGCTCCAGATCTTCGGCGGCACGGGCGAGCCGTCGTGGAAGAACGGCTCCGTCGTCGGCGCCAAGGTCCACACGGCGACGAAGCTGCCGACCGTGCCCCTGGACCCGACGCAGGCCAAGTACCGCGTGGAGGCCGACGCGCCCGCGAGCCCCGCGAGCCACGGCTCGCCCGGCGGCTTCCCCGGCGCCGGCGGCGACCCCGGCAGCCCGACGCCCAACTCCCACGCCTCCGTCAAGCTCGGCGCGCCGACGCCCGTGCGCGCGACGCTGCCCAAGGGCAAGGACGACGCCGCGTGGTCCTTCCACGAGATGCGCATGCGCAACGTCGCCGCGCTCACGCTCGGCCGCTGGCGCATCATGCCCGCGACGGAGGAGCTCGCCAAGGCGGCGACCAAGCGCGGGGGCTACGTCTGCAACTTCGACCACGTCTACCTCGAGCAGGACTTCTTCTACATGTGCCACGACGCGACGGCCGCGCCGCTCACGTTCCACCGGACGCCCGCCGAGGGCGAGTCGACGGCGGGCTACAAGGTCGAGCGCCGGGGCATCTGGAAGCTCCGCGTCGCCGAGGCGTCGACGAACCTGCGGGAGATGTCCAAGGGCGAGCAGCGGTCCGAGATGCTCATGGACCGCGCGCGCAAGTGCCTCGCGCTCAGCGACGCGAACCGCTACGGCCGGCGGCGCTACCGCAGCGACACGGGCGAGGTCGAGCGGCCGGGCGCCGTCGTCGACGCCGACGCCGACAGCCACATCTCCGGGGGCATCGGCTTCTCCACCGTGCTCCGGGAGAGCGTCTTCGACGGCGAGCGACAAGAGGAGGCGCACGCGCTCCGGCCGCACCGCGCGAAGGAGCGGCGGCCCCACGAGTACTTCCTGGACAAGTTCCCGCGCATCGGCCCCGGCGCCGAGCCCCCGGAGCGGCCGCCGAAGGTGTCCGGCGGCGGGTCCGTGTGCTCCGCGTCGCGCGCGTCGCGGCGCGGCCGCGGCCGCGACGGCGGCGACGCGGCCGCGACGGTGGCCGCGTCCCTCAGCAGCCGCGGCGGGTCGTCGTCGCAGCGGCGGCGCCTCGGGTCCCTGAGCACGGCGTTGTCGTCCATCACCTACGGCCCGGAGTGGCACGTGCCCAAGGCGGACCTGCTCATCAACCGGCAGACGACGACGTCGAAGATCCGCTTCCCGCCGCCGTCGCAGCGGAAGCGGCCCGCGGCGGCCTTCGACGCCGACGCCGCGGCGGCGGCCAAGGCGCGGGACCACGACGGCGCCACGGTCGTGTCCCAGCTGACCGCGGACACGCACGACGGTTTTCCCCGGTTCCGCGACTACGCGTCTTTGGACAACGTGTCCGAGACGCAGCAGCGCAAGAGCCGCCTCCTGGGCGCGGCGGCGTCCTGGTCCTACAGTCTGGGCGACGAGGACCGGACGGTGGCCGAGGTCGCGGCGAACGCGAACCTGTCCGCGCGGAACGCGATCCAGACGCTGAGCTCCGTCTGGTCCGACGCGGGGTCGCACCAGGGCAGCGACGGCGGCAGCCACGGCACGCACGGGAGCTCCCTCGCGGGCCACCGCCGCCGCCACCACCACCACCGCGGCGCCGGCGCGCCGCTCAGCGACGTGTCCGCGTCCGACGACGACCACGAGTCGGGGCTCAGCGACCTCGAGGAGCCGGAGCACGCGGACATCCCGTCGCCCCACAAGCTCGCCATGCAGGACGACGAGGAGGAGGACACGGAGCGGCTGGCCCTCGAGGCCATCGACGCGTGGCACAAGAAGTGGACGCACCGCCTCTCCACGGACGGCCGGTCCGGCGGGCCCGTCGTCGACCGCCTCGAGGGCGAGGACGTCTTCCTCGCCCACAACATCGACTACCTCAAGCGGCGCCACCGCTTCAAGACCATGTTCGCGAAATTGCAGATCGACTCGTCCGCGGACCAGGTCATCTACGGGAAGAAGGCCAAGGCGAAGGACGGCGCGTCGAGGGACTTGCTCGAGGACCCGCCGGCGGACATGGCCGTCTTCGAGGAAGAAGAGTCCCTGGGCGCCTTCATGGGCGACGGCGCCCTGCTCAAGGAGATGACGCTGTCGACCCTGGGGTTGCTGCGGGACTCGGTAGCGAACAACCTCAACGCGGCCGTGCAGAAGCGGACGGAGGAGGCGGAGCTCGCGCGCGTCGCCTGCGAGGCCGCCGTGCTCGTCGTCACCTTCTCGGAGATGGTCGTCGCGCCGCGCATGCGCTTCGTCGCCGTGCGCCTCCGGGACCACCTGTTCGGCGCCGCGAACATGGCGCCCGACGACGCGTCCGACGTCGCGGACGAGGATTTGGCGTCGACGGTCTCCGCCGCCGCCGCGGGGGCGCTCTCCGTCGACGCCTTGCTCAAGCACGCGAAGAAGCTCCACAGCGAGATCATGCTCTTCTGCACCCACGTGGCCCGCGTCTACGCGCCCAAGGACGACAAGCGGCGGAAGACGCGCCGCGGCTCCTCGACGAAGCGCATGACGCGCCGCCAGTCCTCCGCCAAGGACGGGCCGGGCTCCGGCGCCTCGACGTCCTCCCGCACCTTCGACACGCACACCGCGTCCACGTAAGCGGCGTACTTCGATGGGTGGGTGCGCGGCGGCGAGGCCTCGAGATCGTTGGCCGGGAGGTCTCGTCGGCCGTGGGGGCCCAGAACGGCCAAGCCGGACAAAGGTAGCGGTCGGTACACGATGGCGCCCAGCGCGACACCGGGTGGCTCGCCCGGCGCGTCGGCGTCGTCGACCTCGTCGCAGAGCGCCGCGCCGCCGTCGCCGCTCAAGGCGGCGCGGCGGCCGGCCCCGTTCTCGACGAGCTTCCTGAGCCTCGTGAGCGCGACGCTCGGCGGCCCGTCGGTGGACGAGTTCGGCGTCGGCGCGCGCGTCTGGGTGGCCCACGCCGACGGGTCCGCGACCTCCGCGACGGTGCTGGCGGCGCCGCAGCCGCGGTCCGGCCGGTGCGTCGTCCGCGAGGACGGCCGCGCGCCCGCGCAGTACCACGCGTCGCAGCTCTCCGCCGCGGCGCCGGCGCGCCGCGACGACCGCGCGGGCATCGGGGCGCTCGCCGAGGGCGACCGGTGCCTGCTGCGGTCCGCGTCCGAGGGCGACGCGCCGCAGCCGTGCGTCGTCGTGAGCCGGCCGAACGGCCAGGGCCGGTGCGTCGTCCGCGTCGCGCGGGGCTACGCCGGCGGCGCGGACCGCGCGTGCCGGCTCGTCCACGCGGGCCAGCTCGAGCTCGTCGACGGCTCCTTCCTCGACGACGTGTCGCGCGAGCTCGCGCCCGGTTTGCTCTTCGGCGAGTGCCGCGCGTACCCGGAAGCGGCCGCGAAGGACGCGGCGGACGCGACGGAGGACTGCAAGGAGGCGCCGCCGCCGAGGTACGCGCCGGCCGACGACCCGGACTACGGCCCATACTACCGCATGCTCAAGGTCGGCGCGCCGCCCGCGGCGATCGCGCAGAAGATGGCGCGCGACGGCAGGGACGCGCGGCGCATCGAAGCGACGGAGCCCTTCTTCGTCGAGGGCTCCGGCGGGGCCCCGGCGGCGGCCGCGGGCGCCCCGGGCGGCTCCGTCGCCGCGCTCTTCGGCGGCGGCGGCGGCGGGCTGCCGGCGCCGAAGCGCGCGCCGAAGCGGCGGCTGACCGTGAAGCAGCTGCCGCTCGACTTCCACGCGGCGGTGGGCGAGGACTCGATCTGGGCCGACGTCCACGCGCTCAACGGCATCGAGGTGCACCGGCCCGAGCTCGAGAAGCTCTTCGTCAAGGCCGCCGCGGACAAGAAGGACGCGCCGAAGGCGCGGAAGGCCGTCAAAAAAGTCAAGGACGGCGCGCGCGTCGTCGTGTTGAATCCGAAGCGGTCGACGAACGTCGCCATCGCCCTCTCGGGCTCGAAGCTCACGGCGCTGGCACCCGCGGTCGTCGCGGCGGCTTTGGAGCGCCTCGACGCGGCCGCGTTCACGCGGACGCAGCTCGACGCGCTCGACGCGGCCGCGCCGCAGGCCGACGAGGTCGCGTCGTTGGAAAAGTGCGCCGCCGGCGACGACGACTTCGGGCGCTACGCCGAGGCGGAGCGCTTCATGTGCCGCGTGGCCCTGCCCATGGGGGCGCGGCTCTACGCGGACCGCGTCGCCGCGCTGCGGTACCGGGGCGGCTTCGACGACCGCGCGGCGGCGCTCCGCGGCGCCGCGTCCCGACTCCGCGCGGGCTGCGCGGAGGTCACGGCGTCGCCGAGCCTGAAGAAGCTCCTGACCTACGTGCTGCGCCTCTCCTCGGAGCTCGCGGACGCGAAGCGCTTCGAGTTCGGGAGCCCCGGCGGCGCGGGCGCCGACGGCGGCGACGACCGCGCGGGCGCCGCGGGCTTCAAGATGGCGAGCCTGCTCAAGCTCGCGGACACGAAGGCCTTCGACCGCGAGACGTCGGCCCTCGAGTACCTCGTGGGCCTCATGATGCGCAACGGCGACGACGACGCGCTGGCCTTTGCGGACGAGCTCCCCGGGCTGGCCGCGGCCGCGCGCGCGTCGCCGCGCCACGCGGCCCAGGAGCTCCAGAGCCTGAAATTCGGCCTCGCCAAGGTCGACGCGCTCCGGCGGAGCGGGGACGAACCGGCGGCGGACGGCCCGGAGGCGGCGGCGGAGGCGGCGGCGGCGGGCGCGCCGGCGCCGGCGGCGCTCGCGCGGCGGCCGTCGGCGGACGACGCGGCGGCGGCCGTCGCGCACTTCCACGACATGGCGTCGAGCGTGCTCCGGGAGCTGGCGTTGGACGTCGAGGCCGCGGCCGAGGCCTTTCTCGACACGCTCGCCTACTTCCACGAGGACGGCGGGCAGACGCCCGCGGAGTTCTTCAGCACCCTGGTCGCGTTCGCGGCGAAATTCGCCGAGGCGAAGCAGCGCCTCGCGCTCCGCGAGCGCGTCGACCGGCGCCGCGAGCGCGCCGAGGAGTCGCGCGTGTCGCGGAGCTCGACGATCCAGGAGAAGCTCCGGCGCCGCGCGTCCGCGCCCGCGCTCGCGCCGCCGGAGCCGGACCGGCCGCGGCCGCGGCCGCGCGCGGCGACGGCGAAGAAGCGCTGCTCGTCGGCGAACGCGCTCCACGCCGCGGCCATCGAGGCCATGCTCCTGAGCCGGCGCGCCGACACGCCGCCGCCCTTGCCGCCCGCGGCGCCGCTCTCGCCCATCGCGGCGTCGGACGTCGGCTCCGACGGAGGCGCGACGCCCAAGGGCCGGAAGACCGTCGAGGCGCCCTTCTCCGAGGGCGCGGCCACGCCCTTCTCGGACTGCGCGGCGGCGCCCTTCTCCGAGGGCGCGGCCACGCCCTTCTCGGACTGCGCGGCGGCGACGCCCGTCGCCCCGGCGTCCGCGGACGCCGGCGCGACGCCCGTCGTCACGGCGTCGACGTCGAGCGGCGGCCCGGCGTCGCCGCTCGACGCGCCGGCGCCGGAGGACGTCGACACGCCGCCGCCGCCGCCGCCGCGGCTCGCGCCGCGGAGCAGCACGCACTCGGCCGTCGAGTCCGAGTTCTCCTGCGACGACGAGGACCTCGCGGAGCTCCGGGACCTGGCGCTCTACTAAGTCCGGCACGTTACGCCGCGCCCGCGAGCGCGGCGACCCAGGCCTCGTTCGACGGCGCCGCGGAGCCCGCGGCGACGGACACGGTGAACTCGCCGGGCCCGTCGAGCTGGAGCGCGGCGACGAGCGCCGCCGCCGCGGACGTGCGGGACGTGTCGTAGTCGCAGGGCTCGAAGTCCGTCGCCGTGAGCGCGAGCTGGACCGGGTTCGGCAGGCCGTAGGGGTCGCCGCGCGCCACCGCGGCGCCGAGGCCGAACTTGTCGTGGGCCATGACGGCCATGGCCTCCTGCAATTCGAAGAGCGTGTCGTAGTAGTACCTCGAGAGCCCGAAGTCGGGCACCTCCGCCGCGGCGCCGTACTCGCTCCGATCCTCGGGCTTCGCGTTCATGTTGCCCGGCCCGCCGCCCTTGAGCACGCCCGCGCGGACGATCGACAGGGGCACGGCGCCCGCGGCGTCGCGCAGCGCGGCCTCGGCGGGCGCGAGGTCCTTCGCGAAGAGCCCGCCGCCCTTCCCGCCGCCCATGGCGCTGAGCAGCGCGCAGTGCTTCACGTTCGCGGCCTGGTTGAAGATGGCCGCGGCGAAGGCCGGCGAGATGGGCCCGGACTTGGTGTCGCAGACGACGATGACGCCCTCGGCGCCCTCGAGCGCCTCGGCCAGCCCGTCGGTGCCGACGACGACGTCGACGCATCCCGCGTCCGCGGCGCCGCCGTCGGCGAGCCTCTCCGCGTACTCGCGCCCGTAGAGCAGCGCGCGCGCGTCGCGGAGCTGGTTCGCGCCGGCGGGCACGACGACGCTCGCCCGGAAGCCGGCCTTGGCCGCCAGCTTCGCCGCGATGAGCTTGACCTCCGAGGCGCCGGGACCCAGCGCGACGACGCCGGCGCCGGGCGACAAGGCATCGGCCGCGGTTGCTGCGGCGACGAGCAGCAGCAGCGATCGGCGCCATGGCATGCTGCGTCCACCGCACTTCCCTGCGCGGCCCATCACGCGATCCATCTCCTTCGAGTCAATCAGCGCTTCAAGTAAGACGCTCATTTTTGTTGACTCGACCATGCACCTGTTCCCGCAAGCTCCCGGCGCGTCGGGGGCCGGGAACAGATGCACGAGAAGGGAATTTTAAAAAGATTTAAAAAGAAAGGAAAGGGAAAGTAGGAGGCTTGCTTGATCCGAACTTGAGTGCACGATGCCGTCCCTGAGCGGTGTGCCACGACTGCAAGTGCCGGCGCGCGCGCAGCTGCGACGACGAGCTCCAATTTTTCTAGCGCGCTGCGCGCGGGGTCGGAGCTGGCCGCCACGCGGAGGCGCATGGACAGCTAACTACGCGATTACGACGAAGTTTCGAAGATGCTGCTCAAAATTTCTACCGCGCTTCGCGCGGGGAGGATTGCACCGAGGCCGCGCGGACAAGGCTGTAGCCTCTTGGACACGCGCGGCGTCTTGTTCTGCGTGCGAAATAGATTTCGAAGCGCACATAGTCGTGGATCTTCGGCCGACACATGGGCGCGCGCGCGCGCGCCGTGCGCGCGCGCGCCGCCGCGCGCGGCAACGATGTCTCGCCGCGCGCCACGGACGTGGACCACGTCATCGGCGGCCCGGAGGACGCCTTCGACGACATGGGCGCGCCGATGCGGATCAATTCCTCGCCGCTCGTCTGCGAGGGCTTGTGCTCGGGGCCGCGGGGTTGCGGCGCGCGCGGCGACGACGTCACGAGACGCCCCGCGGATCATCGGCGACTTGGAGGCTGGCCTCGGGACGACGTCCCGAGCCGCATCAACGGCGGCGGCGACAGGCACACGACGAATTCGTCGCTGTCGTCGGCCGCGGCGTCCATGTCGGCGCGAGGCAGCCCACGACGACGACAGGAACACGCCGCCGTCGCGCACGGCAAGGCCGCGGGGCAGCCCCGGGAGTTGCCGTGGGGCGCGGAAGGTATGCGACGGCATTTCGACGCGCTGGAAGCCCTGGAAAGGCGCCAGCAGGGCAGCCGATCCCGACACGGAAGCGCTGCGCATAGGCGTGAGCGGCGCGTTCACGGTGTTGTAGAGGCGTGAGTGGCGGAGAGGGCGTGTGAACAAGCGGCACTAAAGACTTCACCTTGTGAACGAAATGAGTGGTTCACCCAACTTCTCTTGCTATTCATTCGGCCCGTGACCAAGAGGCTCGGTAGAATACTTCCGCGGCGTCGAAGGTCGGCGTCGCGCGAAGGAGCGCGGGGACGGGACCTGCGGCGATGTGCGAGGCCCAGTGCTTCAGCAAGTCCCTGCGGGACGCGGCCGGGCAGCCCCTGCGGCTCCGGGGCAGCCTCCTGAAGAAGGGCGGCAGCAAGACGGCCCCGAGCATCCGGAGCAGCTTCACCATGGGCCGGCGCAACTGGCAGCGCCGCTGGTTCACGCTCGACGCCGAGAACGGCGAGCTGCGCTACTACGAGGACGCGACGATGCGGGCGACCAAGGGCCTCGCGCGCTTCCGGCCCAACAGCGAGCTGCGCACGCCGACGAAGGACCTCCGGGGCAAGCACGGCCGGGGCGCGACGGACGACACGGCCTACTACTTCGAGGTCACGAACTGCGAGGACGAGAAGCACCTCGTCCGGAGCGACCCCTTCGCGATGCGCGCGCACTCGCAGCTCGAGTTCGACCAGTGGGTCGCGTCCGTCGGCCTCAGGGCAGCAAAAGGGTGATTCAACGTCGCTTCAACGTGAGTGTTCCGCGCGCGCGCGTTCCGAAAAAAAACATCCACGCTTCGAGACCGTTCCGAGAGATGATCGCTCGTCCAAAAATCAGCCAAAACGAGTGGAAAACGGCCGAGATATGAGCCTTTGAAGTTGGGAATTTCGCTCTCTTTTGCTGCCCAGGTCGGTTTGGCGGTGCGCATCGCGCGCGGCGAGAGCCCCCACGCGGCCTGGCCCGAGCCCGCGGCGCCGGAGGCCGCTCCGCCGACGCCCGTCGAGGACCCGGGCATCTACAAGGAGCTCTCGCGCGCGCTCGCGCGCCGGGGCACCGCCGACTCCGCCGCGGCCGCGGCCGCGCCGCCGCCGCCGCCGCCGCCGCCGCCGCCGCCGCCGGCGTCGCAGCCACCGCCCGAGGTCAAGCCGCCGCCCTACAACCCCAGCGTCGTCCCCCCGCCACCGCGCGCGCCGCCGCCGCCGTCCATCCCGCCGCCGCCGCCGCCGCCGCCGCCGCCGCCGCCGCCCTGAGCGCCCCGATTTTATAAAACTCACTCGGCCCGGGCGATCTCGCAGCGGGGGAGCGACTTCGCGTCGAGGGCCGCGCGCGTGTCCGTGAGCGCGTGCTCCTCGACGATCTCGTCGACGCCCGGCGGGCCGACGGCGCCCGACGCGCGCTTCATGGGGACGACGTCGTCGCCGCCGCCGTCGTCGCCCGAGCCGTCCTTGGCGTAGACGCCCCGCGCGGCGACCATGGCGTCGTAGTCGCTTCGCGACACGACCCACTTGGCGTGCGCGTCGCCGTCCGCGAGCGCGGCGGCGAACGCCGCGGCCGCGTCCCAGGCGCGCGCGCGGCTCGCGACGACGCGCACCGTGCCCCGCAGCAGGTTGCCGAGCTCCTGGGCCACGCGCACGTCGCAGCCCTCGTGGCACGCGTCGTCGCAGCCCGTGACGATGACGCCCGCGAGGAGCGGCCGGTGCAGCCGCCTGTCGCCGACGCGCTTGATCGCGTCCGCGGCGCAGATGTGGAGCGGCGGCGCGGCGGCGAGCGCCGGCAGCGGGCACTCGTCCTGGCGCGCGAAGAGCAGCTCCGTGGCGAGGTAGCACTCCTCGGAGACGGCCGCGTCCGCGCCGTCGGGCAGCGGCACGCGGCCCCGGATCGTCTCCGGCGCGTCCTCGACGAGCGACCGCGCGAAGCAGAGCTCCTTCTTGGCCAGCAGGAGCGCGTGGGCCCGGCAGGGGTCGGCGAGCGTCTTCGCGCCCGGCCGCGCGGCCGCCTCGGGCGTCGCGCGCGCCACGAGCGACGCGAAGAGCTTCGCCACGCCTTCCCCTCCCCGCGGCGTCCAGGAGCTCGTCGCCAAAACACCCTCGACGTAGGCCTGGGCGCAGGACGAGTCGTGGCCGCACTCGACGACGCAGGCCGTGCCGCGCCAGCCCGAAACGGGGACACGGAGCGCCATCGCGCACGCGGCGAGCGGCGCGACGCAGACGGACGCCGCGCCGTGCTCCTCGAAGAAGAAGGCGACGAGGGACGCCCGGAGCTTGATCGTCGCCCGCGACGGCACGACGCAGACGACGTGGCGCTTCGCGCAGTGGAGCCGGGCCATGAGCAGCGCGTTCCGCACGACGGCCTCGACGTCCGCCCAGCCCCGGCCGGCGACCGCGAGGTCCCTGGCCGCGCCCGAGCCCTTGACGACTCGCTTCTCGTACTTGAGGCAGCTCGACCCGAGCGGGTAGTAGTAGGCCCCGCGGTCCGGGCAGAGGTCCATGCGCGCGTCCGGCGACGCGCCCGCGGCGAAGCCCGACGGCTGGCTCGACCCGTCCTCGAGCCAGACGGCCTTGACGAAGGACGGCGTCACGAACTTGGGCTCGTGTTCGCCCGCGAGGCCCGCGTACGTCTCGACCTCGCCGAGCACGAGGACCACGGGCGCGTTCGCGGCGCTCCCGCCGGCCGCCGTGAACGCCACCACCAACTCCTCCGGCGCGCCGCGCCCGCCGACCTCGTCGCCGATGAGCGCGTCGAGGGCGACGGCCGCGCCGTCGTTTCGCAGGAGCTCCAGGCCCTTGACGCGCAGGGGCGGCTCCGACGGGTACTTGACCGCGTACGTCTTCGCGAAGTGCTTCAGGAGCTTGGAGCACGGCCGGTCGTCCCAGGACTTGGGCAGCGTGAGCTCGAAGGCGGCGCCGAGCGCCGCCGTCGGCGCGCCCGCCGCGCGGCCGTCGAAGGCGAGCGTCACGCGCCGCAGGTCGTCGCCGACGAGGCGCCGCCGCCGCCCGGCCGTGCGCGCCGCCGCGGCGACGCGCGCCTCGTGGGCGACGGCGTCCGCCTGGAGATTCTTTTCCTCCTCATTGCCTCGTTCGAGCTCCCGGTCCAGCAGCGCCGCCTTGCGGTACTTTTGCGTGACCTCGCCGCGCGCGTTGAGCTTCATCGCGGCGTCCGAGGCCTCTCCAGCCCCTCGAGGAGCGGGGCAGCATGGGCAAAGATGCAGGGCATCGTTAGCCCATTGCGTCCGGCGCACCTTCTCGGCGCGGGCTGCCGTCGTTTGGCCTCGGCACTTTATTGCTCCCGATGGCCGTCTTCAAGGCGACCTACGACAAGCTGTACGCGCGCGAGGGCGGCGAGAGCTTCTTCTACAAGGCCGACTCGGGCAAGGGCCAGCGCCTCGAGGGCGCGCTGCTCAAGCTCAAGAAGCCCAACGGCCTCCTGCGCAAGGGCGAGCGGTGGCGGCGCTACTGGGTCACGGCGGACAGCGAGTACGTCTGCTACTTCCGCAACAACAAGGGCAACGACGACGAGCTGCGCAAGCTCAAGCCCGACTTCGGCACGCACGCGCGGAAGCGCGTGCCCGTGTCCGCGCTCGAGGTCGAGCCCACGGCGGGCCCCGACGAGGGCACGCCGGGCTTCACGCTCAAGGCGGAGCAGGAGCAGTACGAGATGCACTTCGCCTGCGCCGACGAGGGCGAGCGCCGCGCCTGGGTGACCTTCGTCCAGAACGCGATCGAGGTCGCGCGCTACGCCGCGGACATCAACGCGAACCGGGACGCGACGAAGCCCCAGTGAGGCCCCCTAGGCGCCCTCCCGAAGGTAGGCCCGGAGCCGGGGCACGGCGAGGGACCCGACGAGGAGCTGGAGCGGGTGGAGGATCATGATGGGCGCGCAGTAGTAGGCGAGGTCCGGGCTGCCGGCGAAGATCGTGCGGATGAGGGGCAGCCCGAAGGCCAGCGTCTTGTGCGACGCGCAGTAGGCCGCGGCGACGGCGTCGCGCCGCGGGAACGCGCGGCCGAACGCGGCCAGGCACGCCGCGAGGAGCGCGCCGTGCGCGAGCGGCAGGCCCAGCCCGAGCAGCGCCAAATCCCGGCCGCCGACGCCGAAGCCCGTCGCGAAGGCGCCGGCGAAGGCGCACCAGACGATGGCGAGGAGCGCGAGCTCCGACGCGCGCGTGAGCGACCGCTTTCGTTTTTGTTGGAACGCGGCGACGCGCGACGACCGCCGCAGGACCTGGCCGACCAGAACGGGCAGCAGGCACTTCGTCGCGAGCTTCCCGACGACGGCGCCCGCCGGCGGCAGGGGCACGCGCGCGCGGAGCACCGCGTAGAGCAGGGCGGGCGTCGCGACGACGCCGAGGCAGTTGCCCAGGACCGCGTTCGCGAGCGCGGCGGCGACGTTGCCCCCGGCGGACTGCGTCAGCGCGACGCACATGTTCACCGTCGTCGGCAGGCACGCCGTCGCCAGCAGGCCGTCGAGCAGGCGGCCGTCGACGGCGGACCACCGCCGCGCCGCCGCGACGGCCGGCGCCGCGACCGCCGGCACGAAGAGCAAATTCGTCGCCTGCGTCGCCGCGTTGAGGCGCAGGTCCAGCGCCGCGGCGCGCAGCTCCTCGACGCGCAGGCCGAGGCCGCTCAGGAGGAAGACGAGGCCGACGGCGTATTTGCCGACGTAGGGCTCCGCGGCGACGCCGACGGCCGGCGCGGCGGCCGCGGCGGCGACGGCCGCGCCCATGCCCACGACGAAGAACTGCTTCTCCGCGAAGCGGCCCGCGGCGCGCAGCGGGCCGCCGCCGCCGCCGGCCGTCGACGACGCGACGGCCGCGAGGCGGTGCGCCTCGGCGCGCCGCGTCGCCCGCGGCCGCGGCGCGCTGAGGCCGTGGGCCGCGGCGACGAGGACGATCGCGAGCGCCGGATGTCGCATGGTTTTGCTGCCGCAGCGTGCAGTGGCAGCCTTGCACGGACGAAGTGCGTCGCAAAGGCTGCGACTGCGACTACAACAACATGAGTCCAAATTGCACTGCAACATTGCATCCGAGTACTCCAAAAGGATTCCCGAATCCCCGGGCGTCTGCTGTTGGTTCTTTAGAGTGGTCGGGGATTGGGGGGGGTGGGCGGCGCGCCGCCCCGCGCGCCGCCGCCGCGGCGCCTCGTTTCGCTCCTACGCGTCGCTCGACCGGACGACGACGTGCGTGTTGATGAGGTCGTCGAAGTCGTAGCCGGCGTCCTTGCAGTGGTTCCACTCGAAGGTGTCGTAGACGTAGGGGAGCGTCGGGCTCTCCGGGCTCGCCATCTCGAGCACCTCGTGGTTCGTGTAGAACTTCTGCGTGTAGTTCGTGTCGTCGGACGTCTTGATGGAGAACTGGAAGGGGATGACGTCGTGCTTGCTGTGGCCGTAGCAGGAGGACGCGATGGACGTGTCGTGCTCGGGCCAGGTGTCGTTGATGAACGTGTTCGTGAGCTTCTTGTACATGTAGAGGCGCTCCATCGTCGGGTGGATGGGCCAGAAGCTCGGGTCGAGCGGCGACGCGCTCTCGAGGTGGTCGCCGTCGATGCCCATGCCGCCGTCGCAGAGCTTCTCGATGACCTGGACCTTGAGGTCGTAGTCGAGCCAGTGGTACTTGGACGACACGGTCTCGCGGCCCATCGTCACGTCCCAGGAGAACATCTGGTCCCAGAACGTCTTGATGAAGTCCGTGTAGTTGTGCTGGAGCGCCTTCTTCAGGTTCGTCGCGTCGTCGCACGTGCCGTGGCACTCGCTGTAGGGCGTGTCGAGCGAGCAGTAGCTCGGCATCGTCAGCCGGTCGTCGCGGTACAGGTTCTTCAGCGAGAGGAACATGTCCGTGCGCACGAGGTAGAGCAGCGCCGACCGCTGGGAGTCGAACTTCGGGTAGTCGTCCGTGGACACGTGCTTGGAGAGCATGTGGACGAGGTCGTTGGACGTCTCGTTGCACTCGAGCGTGCCGCCGAGGTACTGGTGCACGGGCCCGTGGGGCGCGTAGGGCAGCTGCCACGCGAAGTCGAACCAGGAGTTCGTGTCGTTGAGGAGCTTGTAGTGGATCTCGCAGCTCGGGAGCATGTCGAACTTGACGCCGCAGAGGTCGTGGGACCGCGTGACGTACGCCGCGGGGTTGTTGTTCCACGGCGCCCGCAGGTAGCCGTAGGAGTTGTGGCTCCGGTGGCTCCAGGCGTCGGTCTCGACCTTGATGTAGGCCCAGCGGCCCTTGGTGACCGTGTGCTCGTCCTCGTCGACCTCGCCGAACCAGTCGCTCTTCCAGAGCGGCGACTCCTCG